TAAGTAACATTTCTGTTACTTTTCGCGTGACCTTGGATCGGGTAAGGATCGTCACCCCGATTCGGGCACCCGTGACCTACAAAAAATCGGGCTCACAATATGATTCATCTTTACAAGATTATTTCTGCATTTGTTCCTCAACAAAGAGCAGAACATAGTGCAGTTCTTGTAGCTAAAAAACTTTATTTTCAAGGTGGTTATGATCATACATACAACGTATATGTTAATAGCCAGTTATTTTACCTTGATGTTTCAAATTCTTTTAATACAACTAACATAAATTTAATGCCTTGGACTGACTTGTCCTCGACACCGGGTTTAACAAACAAAACTGGAGCAACAGCTTGTGTTGATGGTGGAGCAATTTTTTATATTGGTGGAACCCATTCTGGAAATCTTGTTAGTAAATTTGATACAGTATTGGGGCAATGGAATGAATTAAATACTTATGGGTCAATACCTACCCCTGGATTGATAGCAAATGAAGAGATAAAATTTGTTCAATGCGTAATTTTGGGGCATAAAATATATATTTATGGTGGATATGGAGTTTATCAAATGAACATATTAGATTCTTTACAATTATATTGGTCTAGATTTTCATCAGCATTAACGTATAGCGGAACGCAAGGTTATACTGCTACAATGTTAAACGATTCAATATTATATATGGGAGGAGGAGGAATCAATTTAACTTATTGCCAAGCAAATTCAACTAACGAAGTATGATTTTAGATTGTTTAATATTTTGTCATTATTACAATAATGTTGGCAAATAGTACTCCAGGCTCATTCCTTATGTTTCGGAACTTAGAATTTGTCAAATGATAGGCATGAACATTAAAGAAATGAGGCTTGCATAAAAGATATAAACTAACAAAATGTTTGGTTTTAAATTAAGCAAACTTATGAAAACTTATTTTTTATATATATTTAAATTGCTTTTCTCTCTCTAATTTTAGTACATTATATTCTGATTATCGCAATCTTTTTCTTTTGATTGCAGTAGTTTTAGATTACAAGTAATTAGAGAAACTTATAAAGGAGTATATTTACTAAACAGTATTTAATTTTTTTCAATTAAATGATTTTCTTTTTTTTTCTTTTACTGAATCAATTTAGTTGCCGGTTTCAATTTTCAATACAAGCGATAATTCATGGAGAATGGTTGTATGTTTTATAGATTGACTTTTCATCTTTAATTATACATCAATACATGTTCTGTTCAACCTATTTTACCTTGAAAAATATCAATAAACTTAGCCCACGTCTGGTCAAGCCCCTCTTGCAAGATGTGATCATTCATCGGTTTATATTTGTATGCATTATATTCAAAGATAAGATATTTTTTAATTCTTTATACTTTTATTAATAATTCATTTTATTAATTATATAGCTCAACATAATCGAATTTTATTATTTTATGGAACTAATAACAATATTTCAATATATGCACTCGACACTTTAACATTTACCTGGTCAATTCCTAAGATATTAAATTCTGGTGGTTCTGTACAAATATTAACACATCATACTTCTACATTAATTGGATCTTATATTCTTATCGCATTCGGTAAGTATGAATTTATCATATAAGGTGAATAAAACAATTAAATTTTCATATTACTTATTTCGAATTTTCATATATAGGCCTTTATATTAATTCTGGACTAGGTTCATCTGATGTTTTTCTTCTTGATGTAAGTCATTATGACAACTATAAATGGGAAACAACTTATGATCCTGCCAAATTATTTCAACCAGCACCAACCCAGACTATTGGTTCAAGTTCAACATTGAATAACCAACAAAATATAAATATTGTTGTTATTATTGGAGAAGTAATTGGTGGAATTTCAGGGCTTATATTATTATCAACAGCTGCAATAATTATTATTTATATAGTCAAGAAAAAATACCAAATTAACGTTGATACTTTACAAGATCAAATTACTAATCAACAACCTGTCGATATGTTATAATTAATTTAACAGAAAGAATAATGAAGGTATTCAGGAAAAAAAAATTTTCTTATATAACTTTACCAATTAAAAATTTAAATAATATTTCAAAAGTTTTAAGTCCTTTATACTAAAATTATTGTAATATATTTGATGATTTTGATAGTATAATTATAAGAGTAAAGTGCAATTAAACTTAAATAACTATATTAAAATAATTAGCTAAGCCAAAGGAATACCTTGAACGTAACCAAATACATTATTAGGATCATAAATTTTTTTCGCAGCAATTAATGCAGGTAAATTACTTCCGTAATATCTATTCTGCCAATCTGTTAAATCACGATCAATATAATTCTGATAACAACTATAATCAGTATAATTCGACTGAAAAGTTTCACCGAAACTATTTAACTGAGTAATACATTGTGCGTTCGTTGTATTATCACCAGTCAGAGTTGTAAATAATTCAATTGAATGAAATACATCCCTATGCACAAATGCAGTAGCATTTGCAGCAATTCTAGTTGCCGCACCCCCGGCATATAAATCAAATACTGCATATGTTGGACATGTGGTGGGAAGACCTGTCATAAAAGTTACAAGTGATTGAACACCCTGTGCTGAAAGTCCAGGAGGTTTTACATAAAAAGACTTCGCTTTAAAGTTACTAGGACTGTGATATGGATATATTGTACCATTTGATTGTTGAAATCCCCACCTTACAACACTATCAAAAAGACTTTCTTCTGTAAATTGATTTGATGTTGGCTGTGACAGTGAAACAAATTGGCTCATAACTTGCGTTGCACTCGATTGTGATCCTAGATAAACACCTTGAAATTCTACAGAACCAATATCTATAACTATCGAGAATGATACATCATCGGGCAGTGTAGGACCAAGTTGCTGAGTTGTATCAAAAAGAGTTTGAATCTTAGTGAGATTATATTTTAATGAGATAGATGTGACTTTAGGAGGAGTAGGATAAATTTGAAATGTAAACGAAGTAACTATTCCATAGTTATTAGCACCAGCTCCACGGAGAGCAAAAAATAAATCCGTATACTTATCGGCTGTTACAGTGATCAGACGTCCAGTAGGATCAACAAGGTCCATGGAAAGGATGTTATCTGATGCGGGACCATATTTTCTTCCAAATAATCCATATCCCTATTATTTTCATTAAATATGTAAAAAAATAATGTATTTTTCAATGTAGACTAGTACTTTAGAAAGAATTCATAGTCTCGTGATATCAATATCGTACGGTCAACTTAGTTCTGGAATCACAGGACCGAGGATTTTTTGACAGTACTAGATTATTCAAATTTCAATAAATAATATGCAAATAATTACTCACACCACCTAATGCATGTCCACCTATCCCGACGCTTGGGCAGGTTCCGAATGGAGCTAAAAATCCAGCTTGGCTCAAAGCGTAAAAAATAGAGCCTAATCTACTCCCGGCACCGACAACTGCAGTCTTTGCCGTTGAATTTATGGTAATTTGGTTTAAATTCGTAATATCTACGACTATTGCACCTATAGTGCCATATTTTTCATAAGAATGTCCTCCTGATCTAACCGAAATACTCATATTAAGTGTACTTGCACAATACACGGAAAATTGAACATCTGCTACTATATTAGCATATATTATCACGGATGGGGTGAACATTACACGAGTATTTTCATCTATTAAGTCACTATTATATTCTGGATCATTTGGATATACTTTTTTACCTTGTACATCAACAAGACATGATGTAAGATCACGCTTTCTGAGTTTGTTAGCTGAAGAAATTTTACAAATAATTATTAAGCATAATAAAATATAAATGCTTAACAACAGTTTTTTATATGTTAACACTGTTATCATTGTCTGAATTTTTTATTAAGCTAGTTTTGAATGATTAAAATTAGGGGAGTCGTTTATATATATTTTATAAAAAAGGCTAACTTTAGATTCTATAGATTCCCCAAATATTTAATAAAATATTGTCTATTTTTTATATGAAATTATGTTACACTGGTCGGTATATAGTAAAGTAGTACGGTACAAAACGCAAATTAGAACTGAACTGACATATGAGTGTCTTTAAATATGAGGTTTTCTTTTGGCGACACTCATAAAAATCATGATAGTACGTATTGTTTGTAAAGTTACTTTTCCTACTAGCCCTAACATAACCTAACATAACTTTAACAAAACCCTAACAAAAAAAAAAGGTAATACTAACGTTCACCCTAACCGTAACCATTAAAAAAAAAATCTTGTAAAAATTGAAACTTGCAGGCCTATATTAATCGTACGTTGATCAAAATTTAGTATAATTTTCATGTCCGTCCGAATTTGTACTGACATACAGTGCTACTTTACTGAATACTTACACTGGTCCGCACTTTGGATATACATATGTACAGTACGTATGTAACCTATTTACTTTATTTAATTTGCAAATATAGTAATCATGAAATTTTTTGTAATATAAATAAGATGTGTAATGTCTAACAAATTTTTGCAACACTATTTACGTAGAACAATTTATTCAAAACGTGCATGGTCAGATATTTTATTATTTCCAATTTTATTTTTATGTTTTGTCAAACAATCTCATTCATCTTTCAAGAACATATGTACCTGCTTTTAAATACTTGTTAATTGGATTTTTATTATTAGGATAGGTACATACATACATTATTAATAGAGGCTATGCCAAACTCGATATTAGAATAGGAGTAATTAATTAATTAAACTTTTGAGCTTGTAAATTGGGATGTGTGACACTTGTCATCGACATTCCACAACTTTAATTAACAAAAACACATACAGCTTTTTAATAAATAAATAAATAGAAGAGTGCAAGGTTAATAAGAAAGTTAAGAAAAGGATGATTGTAAGGAAAGAATGCCCGTCTTTACCAAATTATGCATTTCAGTCTAATATAAATTTATTATTTTTATTTAACAATCAATCTTAACCTGACTAATTTGACTGGACTTTTCCAAGGGTCCCGTCAATCAATCATCATCAAATTTTAATAAAATTACTCTAACGTATTAAACATAGTTGCATTCTTGATTTATTTATTCTTTGACATTTTTTCTTCAACAATTATTTCACTAACATCCATAGAGTGACGATTAATATTTAAAATCGATTATTAATCATCATGAAACTTTAAATATTATTTATCGCATTAATAGCGATGGTAAAAAAACAGGTTTAAGAGGTAGTTCACAGTTAAAGAGTATAAACATTACTAAGTATTATAATAAAAACTTACAAAGTTTTATAGTTGTGGAATGCCAATATCCTGCAATGAAGGTCTTTTTTTACCCAGTAAACATCTTTTAAAGCTTTAACTAAATTTGTAACACGTTATTACACTTCTAATGATAATAAAACTACTAAAATTGATTGTGTAAACCATGAGATATTAAGTTTTTTTTTGCTTTTTTACTGTATGATTATTTCTTATTGTCAGAAATGCTCAATATTTCATTATTTTATTAAAGTTATAGTAAAACTTCTCCACCTTTAATTGTGAACTGTTTCTTAAATATTTCACAAATTTAAAACAGATGCAAAGTTAATGGTGTTTCTTTATAAACTCTAATACTAAAACTTTTAAGAAAGTTCTTATAAAATTAGTTGAGATCAATTAAATCAGGTTCAGTAATCATAAAAGAAATATATTGTAATTAGTTAAGATTACTTAAGAAATTCATTTTTTATTTTCTTTAAAGTAATTTAATAAATAATTATATTATTACAAGAGTAGTATATATTTTCTAAAAACATTATTATGATTGTTGCAGTTATCGTAACTTTTTTTTTTAAAGTGATCTCTTGGTTCTTTTGACTTTTATTAATATTTTTTGAGAATTGCTATTTTCACCTCCATTTTTGCTAATACCACTCTTAAAATACATAAAAGTGCTCTGAAAGAGATATTATTATTAAATAAACTTTCTTTTTGGTATTAATTAAAGTTGTTCATTAGGCCTTTTCAGTTCTAATCATAGTAAAATCACTAAGTTTGGATTGGTAGTTCTTGCAATATGTATATCTAAAGTTTATAATCTTTAATCTACTTTTAAAAAAGAACTACTGGTCTGATTTCAATAATTTTACCACTATTAGAACCAGAAAGGTCGAATAAACAATTTTAATTAAAACCAACAAAGAGGTTTACTTAATAATAATATCTCTTCTGAAGCATTTTTATATATTTTGGAGAGTGACATTAGCAAAAATGAAGGTAAAAATAGCAACTCTCTATTTTTTTGATAATATGCTTTTATATAGACTATTATAGAAAGAGTATACAATTGGTTACATGTGTAACTTTTCTATATTACCTATTTAAAAGGTTTATTTAAAGGTTTCTTACTAATTACCATACCTAATATCACTATTTGAGTGTTTTATTTAAACCTCTAAACCTGCAATTAGTATTAATTTCACTGAGTTATATTCAGATCTTTGTTCCAATCTTAGGACTATTTTATTTTTAAGGTAAATTTCTCAAAGCTTTCTATATATTTATTTTATAGCTGATCAGTATTATAATAATTAAATCAATATTTATAATCAGAATTAATTATTAAATTGCTATGTTCTTACAAAGTTTATCTAAATCTTAGTATTACTTTATACTATATTTCTAATATTTTAATATATTACTATTTTTGTTTTTAAACTCATAATTCTAATAATCTAATAGGATTGTGGTTTGTTTTTTGATATATCAAATCAGTCTGATATTTTTTTTCTTTGATTTGATTTGATAGTCTAATTAGTAATACTCCTTATTTAAGATTCTTGTCTATTTGGTTTCTTTACATTGATATCTATTTTTTAGGTTTAGTCTTTACAGTAGTACTGTTAAAGATTTATATTATCTCTCTGTTTAGATATTTTTAAATAGATTTTTGTTTTCTAATTTTTATACAAATATTTCATTATCTATCACTCATACTGATATAATTATAATTATAGGTATTTTAATTTAATTGTTGAATACAATTGCTATAATACAGATGAAAATCCAAATTTTATATTAATAAGTTTTGAACTTACAATTTGTTATTTAAAAATTAATAATTTATTTATTTTATTAAGTTATTATATCTCTTTATTGTAATTATATAATCTTATATGGATTATAATAATAGTTAAATTTATTATATAAAAAATTAGTAAAACTAGCATTTTAAAAATATTTTTTTTTAGTTTATAGTTTTCAATTTAATTAAGAATTCAAAAAATATAAAATTATTAAAAAAATTAATTATATGATTAGAAAATTTTGATGAGCATTAAAAAATAAAATTTTAAGATATTTTAAAAATTTTTCTAAAATTATTTATAAAAAAATCTATAAAGATAAATTTTAAGTTCTATTTTTTAAGAGAATTAGGTTCTATAGCTTAATAATTAAATTATTAATCTTTATAAATAAAGTTAATAATTCAAGTCAAAATAAAATCAAAATTTAAGAAATTTAAATTTTATAATCTAAAATAGAAGTTAAATTAGATATAAAATTCTATAAAGCATTCAAAATAAAATATAAAAATGGATTAGAAATTTTTTAGAAGAAGATTAACTTGTAAAAAGAAGTTATTATATATGATAGTAGTATTACAAAAAGTACTGTTATATAAAATAGGTAATATTAACATCTTTACATTTAATTTGCAGAGTACTTAATTAGAAAAATAATACTAATCTAACTAAAACTAAAATAATAAATAAAATAAAACATGCAAAGAAGATTTATTAAGATTTTTTACAAGGGAACTCTTTCTGCAAATTCTTTACACAAATCTTAACTAAAAATTCATTTGTACAAAAACATTTATAACTATTTATTTTACTAAATTAACTTGTTTTTGGCTCTTAAATAAACTTATTCAGTACTAAATTTTATATTTATCTTGAAAGTTTCAAGTCTTTAGGATATAAACTCATTAAAAAAAACATACTGACAGCCTTTGGCTTTCAGAATTCATAATTTTAATTATTATACAAAAGTTATTATTACAACTTACTTTATATTCTTAAATAAAAGTATAGAATATATTTTTCTGATCAAAACAAGCTCTAAATGAATATTTTTGGCTGAATATTAACTAAATTACAGTTAAATTTAATTTTTACTCTCTTATAAAAATTCTTTTTTTATCTTTTGTTTCTACTCTAGTTTGCTCATCCTTATACATTTTTTATGTAATATCAGAGCACTTCTTAATTTATATTTAATTAAATTTATACTAAATTTACTAATATATCCTTAAATAGAACCTTATTTAACATACAATCTACTCTTTTTCATATTTGGTTCTAATTAATTATATACAAAAATTGTACTTTTGTACTAATACTATACTATACTGATGACTAGTATTTAGTCACACCCACTATTCTAGTTTATTATAAATTATAATTTATTATATAAAATTACACAAATCTATTTTAAGCTATATCTTATACTAAAACCCTTGTACTTGCCTACTACCCTTGCAAAATTATATACTTATAACTTTTTTTACTTAATAAAATAATTTAAAAATACCTATTCTTATAACAACTGAACCAGACTTCTATGATATGAATTATTATTACTCTAAATACAGAGGCTATTATAAACTTGATATGAATAAGAAAACTTTTAAATTACTCTGTGTTCTTTCACTGGATGTTAATCCTAATCAATATGAAAGTCTTAAGAAAAAACAACATTACTTCAAAGTTCCTATTCAACAAACTATTGGCATATTTTTATATAATTAATTTCATACAAATTTGATTTTTTGTTACTACAAAATTACTCAACCTACCATTTTTGGTCTTTCTAATATGCAAACCTC